GCCCAAGGACGAACCCTATTGAAATTGGGAAAAATCGGTTAGATTTAGATATAGCTCCCATATATAATATCGTCCGATCTAAGGTAAATGGTCCCTATATATCTTTCGATTTGAACGAAATTTGGCATAACGTACTGAATTAAGTCTAGAATGATGTCTGCTAAGTTTCGTGGAAATCGGTTCAGATTTAAATATAGCTCGCATAGATATTTTCGTCCGATTTAAGGAAATTTGGCACAGCGTACTAATTTAAGTCTAGAATGATGTACGTGAAGTTTCGTAAAAATCGGTTCAGATTTAGATTTAGTTCCCATATATATTTTCGTTCGATTTAATAGAAATGGTGCAACAAAGTTCTTATATATCTTTCGTTCAATTTCATGTCAATGTTCTTTCGAAAAGGCGACGTCTGTTAGGATACTATGTAGAATATACCCTAAGCGGTGAAGGGTAGCATATAGTCGGTCCTTACTGGTTAAAAAATATTTTTTCAATGGGTTTCTCGTGGAATTTTGAATAAGGAATTCCCCTTTTTTAAAAAAAACTGCAAGTTACATCTGTCAACATAAGACATAAATGGAATTTGCTGAGTATGTTCGGAAGAACTATGGTGTTTACTAATCTCTTCAGTCTCTGCATATTACAATGATTTAAAAAAATATTTTTTAAGGTTTTTTTTTTTGAAGCATTGCAATTTTTTTTCGAGTAAAGTAACTGTTTCAAGGCTGTGAAAATCCTGAAATTTTTCTATAGATGACCTCTGGTTCTCTATCTACCTCTTGTATACTTCTGAAAATAGTTCAAAAGGCCGAGACAGATCGTCTAGCCCTCGCGGTCCTCTAATATATGCTCGTGAAGGTGTATCTAAAAATAAAAATGGTATTTTGAGTGATCTCAAAACAATTGAAATTGACAGCAAAATAATGCCAACACAATTGCTTGTACTAACCAGTTGTTGTAGTAGCTGCTATCAATTGATGCAACAAGCCAAAACATCTGACAAACAGACACACAACTGTATTGAAAAAGATGATTTTTTTTATAGTTGTTATGGTTGAATGAATGACTGTCGACGAGACTGACGTTTGGTTATTTTTGGGGGGTGAGTATTTATTTCAATTGAATTGTTTGACATTCAATGGGGCCAACAAATTGATTTTGCAAAGAAAAACATGAATGGAGCAGAATATGATTTGTTTATTGTCTCCACCACCAACACCACGCTATATAGTAGTGGGGTGCTGTTGTTTCTCAACATGGCATAAGAGGTGAAATATTTGGAGGTGGGGGGACTTGACACAGTATGTATGTGTATAAAATACACACCTATGGCTGTTTGAAAAAATATTCTATAAAAAATATAAATATTCCATAAAAAATCACGCCTATAGCTACCTTTAAAATTGCGCGCCTAAGGCTTCCAAAAACTTTTCTACCAAAATATAGGTTACGGTCTCCAATTTGTCTCTAGAATTCCATAACGTTTGGCCATAACGAATATTTTGTGGACAAAATAGCTGAAATTAATTCCAAGTCAAGCAAACAAATCCCTTCCCATAGCAAGTTCTGCTTCAATAAAATATGGGTTAAACTCACTCTGTCCAGCCGCAAGCCTATCCAATTGGAAATTGAGGGCACTACAACACAACACTGAAAACACTCTCGCACAGACTCAGTTTTTTTTTTGCATTCACATCACCACACGAAAAATCGGAAACATAATGATAATGTCAAAGGTCATTTGTAAGCATAAAATTGCATTTTATTTCGTTTTGCAAAGAGCCCAGCAACTCGGTTTTCTTCTTACAACACTGATTTAAAGAAAGTATGAACAAAATAAATCACGTTTTAAACATGCTTACAACGTGTTTAAATCTGATTCCAACAAGAAAAACATGACATTATCATCTCCCACATTTTTCCAATTTTTTGTTTTCATTTTTGTTTGTTATTCCTCAATTTCTTGCTCCATTTTATTTATATTTTGTTGTTCTTGTTTTATTCTACACTTCACAAGTAAATATTTAATAAAACAATACAAGAAAATGTGATGATAATGGGGGGAAATTCAACATGAAGAAGAGCAGCAAACAAGAACGAAATAATTATTGTTTTGTGGCTGGCTGCCTGACTGTGCTTACTGTGTCATGCATGCAATGTAATGAGCTTTCCCGTTGGCTGGCTGGATGGCTGACTGTGCTCAGAGTAGAGAGGGGTTGTTTTTATTTACAAATGATGTTGTTTTTGTTTTTTAGCATAGTGCTTTCATTGCTGGGTTTTCTTTCTACTCACATTCAAAAAGGTTGTTTTGGGGGCTTGCAGTCGCTCTCTGTTTGCAGCACCGACTCTTTTGTGATGGTCTCGCACTCTCTCACTCTCATTAACGTTTTTAGGTTAAGTTCTGTATTTTTTTTTATTTCTTCCACCTCCTTACTTTTATTTAAGAAAAGGGATAATTTTTAATATTTATTTTCACAAAGAAAATTAATTGCATATATATTTTTCACAAATTGTTATTTTCTTGGTGGACAAATTAATTCACAATTTTCTTTGTAAGCTCCTAGTATTTTTTCTGTTATGCTTGCAACCCTTTTGGTTGTTGGTTATTTGATTTTTGACTATGTAGAAAGAATAAAATGTGAATGGGAGGATGTAGCGATTTGGCTCTGCTTGAAAAATGCTTTACTTTTTTACATAATAATTCGTCGTCGTTTTCTGTTTGCCTTTTATTTCCAATAATTAATTTTAATTTTCGTTTTATTTCTGGTGGAAACTAAGATTCCAAATGGAAAATGATGTTTCCTTGTTTTGATTTTAAAATTATGTGATTTATTTTCCAAATTACATTTTTTTCTTCGCAAACGCAGCACACTTTGTTGAAAACTTTTTTGAAAGGTTTTATTTAAAAAACACACACAGTAAATGTAATCCTATTTTTTTAATTTATATTTTTTCTTTGTAAAAAACTGATAGAAATTTTAAGACACAGTACACCACAATTTTTTTGAAATGTTCTACATTATAATAAAAAACGCCAACAAAAACAATTACAAATAGCAATGTAATGTGTGTATTCTGCTCTTGTTCTTCTACACCGTGTAATGCTACTACAATTCAAGCGCGCTCCGTGTGAATGCTGTAAAAATTCTCAACCAACTAATTGCAATTTCTTCTTCTCAGGTTGTGTTTGGTTGAGGGAAAAATAATCAATCTGATTGGAGTTCTCATTTGAGCTCCCCCATTAATTTTAATAATGCACCTGCGCTAACTCTCTCTCTCACGTAATCTCAGATGACTGTCATCATAGAGTTGCCATGCTGCAATGTATAATTTAGGCAATTGCCGTGGCTTTTATTTCATTGGTGGTTATTTTTCAGATTGCTATATCTTTGAGAAAAATTGGCGCGTTGAAGTGAAATAAACTGATTTGTAAAGCTAGAGATTTCTAGATTTAGAATCTCTGGATATATCAGTGGTAAAATTAAAGGCATTAGGGCAAATCGACTAAGTTTTAAAAATTCTGAAATACTAAAAATCAACTTAAAAAATATTTTTTTACAAATTCTGGGTTTCTTTTTGATATGTATTTGAATATATTTTTAGAAAATCGACGCTTGTTCACATATTTGATCATACTAAAAAAATATTTTTTCTTTGGACTATAAGAAAAATCAAAAGTCTACGGCAACCCTGGGATTATACTCTCATTGTCTCAGCAGTTTTTTTTTTTTTGGTTCACAGAGCCTTCTTGTTTTTTCTTCATTTTCTAGCCGTTTGTTTTGTATATTCTTTTCTAGTACACACTTATATTTAATGTTATGTTTTTATATAGAAACAAAAATATATGTGTATGTAAAATAGTATATTAAATATATAAATTTATATTTAATTATTATATTATACTATACATTAAATTTGATTGAATTTATTTTACTCTCGGTTTTTTCTATTTGTATTTTCTACTTATAAAAACAAACACTTGTCATGGGTTAATTAAATGCTAATTAGAAAAACAACAACAAAGGAAAAACGGGAACTAACAAATAAAATTCAATTCGAAAAAAGTAATACACCAATTTTATTATCTTTTATCTTGATTTTATCCCACAAAATACCACCACCCCTCTTTTAAAACTCCCACAAACGTTTTCATTCTTTTTTGTTCTTTACCTTATTTTTTGTTTGCTTTTCACGGTACAATATTTTTTCTTTGCCGTCCACTATTTTATCACAATCGTTTTTTCTCTGTTTTTATGTTATTTTCAATATTTTTTTGAATGCATTAAAAAAGCTGAACACTTCGAAATTGTTTTTATTGATACATCAATTTGTTATTAACATTTTTTGTTGTTTAAAAAAATAATAAAAACCGGAGAAAATTCGTCTCTTTTGTATGTTGTTACGTCTTGCAATTGAACATTAGGGGGAACACTAAATCGATTATGCACTAATCGATAGTTGTGTGTGGAGGAGGGAGAGAACGATAGCAAAGTCAGCTGACTTCTGAGTTGATTTGTCAGTTTACTGTAGATGGCATTACAGGTATGATGTTATCTGAATAGTATTGCCATATTGAAAATACGAAAAAAAATCATGGGTTATTTTTTCGTATGATTAAGAAACAGATGTTTGCCTATAATTCCCCTATCTCCCATTCGTAACATAATGGAGTTTTCATGTTATTTGTTTTCTCTCACATTCATAGCATAATACGGTCTTTCAATCTTTCCTCTTACACAATTCAGTTCTAATAAGGAACTAGTTCAGTGGTTCTTGTCAATGAAACAATAAATTGAACTAGGTCGTTACTAAAGCACATAACACTAACTGGAAACGATGAAACTTTTACAAATTTCCTCCTTTAGGAACATAAATCAACGACTTAGATATGGTATATTCCAACAGTACACTATTCCTCAATGTGGAGTGGCCCAGTTAGGTAATATAATGGAATTTTTCATTGATAATTTTATTGACATTTTCTATCCGTTCACAGCGCCGGGTTATCAACCGAAGGAGGTGGAAAAAGATAAAATTGATAGGAAATACAGTTCCAACGATATGAAGGGAAAATGTAAACCGGGAACATTTCGTATGTTGCTGCCACCACCAAATGTAACGGGAAGTTTACATTTGGGCCATGCCTTAATGGCCACTATACAGGATGTCATTGCTCGTCAGAAACGACAAATGGGTTATGATGTACTGTGGATACCGGGCACCGATCATGCCGGTATTGCAACACAAGTTGTAGTGGAAAAGAAATTGTTGAAGGAACGAGGTATCTCACGTCATCAAATGGGTAGAGAGGAGTTTTTACAAGAGGTTTGGAAATGGAAGCAGGAGAAAGGTGGTGGAATTGTTGATGATTTGAGGAAATTGGGCTGTACTCTGACATGGGATAAAGAATATTTTACAATGGATGAGGTAAGTCAAGGGGTCTGGAGGACATATAAGCATTTTTTAAAGAATATTTTTTTATCTTCCCTAGCGCCAAGCTTATGCCGTCAACGAAGCCTTTATACGCCTCTTCGAGGAGGGCCTCATACAACGTAAAGAGTCTCTGGTTAATTGGTCTTGTGCCTTGGAATCGGCCATATCCGACATAGAAGTAGAAACATTGGATCTTAAAGGTCCCACAGAATTGGCGGTTCCAGGTTACGATAAAAATATTACTTTTGGTCGAATATATGATATCAATTATAAAATAATGAATGGCTCGAGTGATGACTACATCAAAGTATCTACCACAAGACCCGAAACCCTGCTCGGAGATGTGGCAGTTGCTGTAAATCCCCTCGATGAACGTTATGCCAAATATCGCGATCAACCAGAGGTACTACTATGGCATCCATTCCGTGAGGAGCCAATTCCTCTGATATTCGATGTAACAGTTGAACCAGAATTTGGTACAGGGGCAGTGAAAATAACACCCGCTCATGATCGTGCTGATTTCGATGTGGCCCAACGACATTTATTACGTCCCATTCAAGTATTTTCGGAAAAGGGTTTGATTAGGGAACAATTTGCGGCATTTTCAAATCAGCCGCGATTTGAGGCAAGAGAAACCATTTTACAAAAATTAGCTGAAATGCAGCTGCTACAAGAGACCAGAGATCATGCAATGCAATTGCCCATTTGTTCCCGATCAAAGGATGTCATTGAATATATGTTACGAGAGCAGTGGTTCCTGCACTGTCAATCAATGGCCGATGAAGCTTTAGCCGAGGTGTTAAGTGGTCGTCTGCAAATTGTACCGCCAAATTTTGAAATTGAATGGCAGCGATGGTTGGAGAATTGCCATGATTGGTGTATATCACGTCAACTGTGGTGGGGTCATCAAATTCCCGCTTATAAGGCCACCGATGAGAACAGCGGCAAAACAATATGGGTGGCTGCTCACAGTGAAGAAGAGGCCCAGCAAAAAGCCCAAGACGAATTGGGATCATATGATATTGAACTTAGACGTGATACAGATGTATTGGATACATGGTTTTCATCGGGCCTCTTGCCTTTTTCGGCTTCCAATTGGCCTTCCGAGGAATATAAGCAGCATTATCCTTTAGATTTAATGGAGACGGGACATGATATTCTATTCTTTTGGGTGGCACGTATGGTAATGTTGGGTCTCAAACTAACCGGTCAATCGCCATTTAAGAAAATTCTCCTCAATGGCATTGTCTGCGATGCCCATGGTCGGAAAATGTCCAAGAGTTTGGGAAATGTCGTGACACCACAACAAGTTGTACAGGGTGCTTCATTGGATGTAAGTTTGTTAATTTTTTGGATATTTTTTAAAACACAAGTAAGATTTTTTTTCAAAGGCCAAAGCAAAAGTGCATATTTTGAAAAAATATTTTTCAGAGTCTATATAGGACGTTGATTTTTTTAAAGAATATTTTTAAGGGTCTATTAAAGGTTTTGATTTTTAAAGAATATTTTTCATATTCAGGGTCCATTTGGATATTGTTTTAAATTACAAAATAATTTTCCCATTTACAGTCCCTTAAAGAAGACCTAAAATCTGCCCACAAGTCAGGAATCCTAAGTAATGCCGAAGTGGAAAAATCTTTAAAAGGTCTACAACGCATGTTTCCCCAGGGCATACAAGAATGTGGTACAGATGCCCTACGCTTTACCCTGTGCAGTCATAATATTAAAAGCCATTTCATTAATTTCGATGTCAACGAATGCTACACGAATAAATTGTTCCTTAATAAAATATGGCAAGCAACCCGATTTACTTTGGGTTCGGCCGAGAGACTAAATATGCCACTACATGAAATCGAGACCATGAATCAGGTGCCATTGGGAAAATGGGATTTATGGATATTAAGTCGGCTGGCGGAGACACTGAAAATGTGCAATGAAAGTTTTGAAAATTATAATTTACACACAGCAACGGGGGCCTTAAAGACCTTCCTCTACAACAATCTATGTGATATTTATGTGGTAAGTTTTCAAAACTATTTAATTTTTTAAAAAAATCGAAAAAATTACATTCTGGTTGGTTTCAGGAAACCTGCAAGAAAAATATAAATCAACAAAAACCCGAAGGCTATATCCACTGTGCAACATTGGCCACAGTACTCAGTTGGTCTCTTCAGGCCATGAGTCCTTTTACACCATTTTTGTCAGAGGAGTTGCTAAAACATTTACCTCAAAATATTGAAATTGATTTAAATAAATTCCATAATGCCGAATTGGAAAAGGAAATTGCCGACATTTTAGATATTTGCCAACAAATCCGGCAACTGAAGAGTCGTAATACCATTAGTAAAAAATATGATCCTCAGTTATATTTATATGGTCACAGTGAGGGGGCTTTAGAAACTCTCAAACCCCATTTATATGAAATGCAAGCTTTAACCCTGACCACAGGAATTCATTTACACCGATTGGAGGGGAATGTAAAGGAGCGAGATAATTTAAGGGTATTCTCAACGGCAGGACACCTTTGTAGTTTTGGTAATGGTTTTTTGTTTATCTCCCATTAAAGGTTTAAGATGGTAATCTTTTTTTCTAATAGGTATTAGTACAAATGATTTGTATAAACCACCCAAGGGCGCAGATAAATCGGCATCAAGCCAAAACCTCAACGAACAAAAATTACAAAAGTTACAGGCCGACTTGAAACGCTATCAAATGCGTATGGAAAATGAAGGATTCCGTAAATCGGCCAGTCAGGAAGTACAACAAAAGCATGCGGAAAAGGTAAAATAATATTTTCTGTCTTATATAAATGTTGAAATTTATTTTTTTTTATAGATACAACAATTGGAAATAGAAATTGAGAAAATCAAGGCCATGGGTAGCTGATGTTAAATATTCTTTTGGAATATAGAAGAATTTGTTAAATTTGTTATACGTTGTAATAAAATGTGTTAAAAAATAAACATTTTAGTTTTCATATATGTAAGTATTGGATTTTTAAAGAATATTTTCAGGATCCATATAAGGTGTGGATCAGGGTCTATAAAAGGCTTGGTTTTAAAAACAATATTTTTTGGAATGTAGAAGAATTTGTTAAATTTGTTATACGTTGTAATAAAATTTGTTTTAAAACAAAAAAAAAACATTTTAGGTTTCATATAAGTCGCGGATTTTTTAAGAATATTTTCAGGAACCTTATAAGGTGTCGATTTTATAAAAAAATATTTCAGGTCTATAAAAGGCTTGGATTTTAAAAACAATTTTTTTTAGGGTCTAGATAAGGCATGGATTTTATAGAGAGTATTTTTGTAGTGGGTCTATACAAGGCGTAACTTTTTTAAAGATTTTATAAAAGTTCCATATAAGGCAGGTTTTTTTTAAGTGTCATATAGGGCGTGGATTTCAGGAATATCTTTTTAATGCCCATATATGGTAAGGATTTAAAAAACACACAGTTAAAAGAGACTCGTTGTTATAACAACCCTGAAGTGCAACGACGTAGGGTCTCTGTAAATTCTTTCAACTTCGAATAGCTGCTCGCCTGATCATGTTCTGCGAAGGGTGATGCTCAATTAATTTGCCACCTAACGTGGAAGCGCATGTTTCGTATCTGAATACCAAATATATATGTGCTTACCAGAACTTAACCTGACTGGCCATTCTCTTTGATAAACATTTAACAAACAAACAATGCCATACATTCCCCACTAATAAATAGTTGTTTTTTATAAAAACAACAAACTGGGATTCAGCCTGACTATTTTGCAAAAACAAAATACAAATGGTATCCCAAATAAACCGCCAACACTACTAAAATAATATACTATTAATAATTATTGCGTTTTACATACTCAATTTTTAAAATTTTTCGCATATTAAATTTTACAATTTTTCGCATATTAAAATGTTTTTCCTTTTAAAATGTAATTTTATTTCCTGTCGCCACTCTATCCACTGTAAAATGATAACATAAACAGCTAAAATGACAACGGCGTCATGTAAAGAGAAAAATAACGGCGTCAATTAAGTTCTCTCTCACGACAGGCGGTTTCGACGCCTTGCACGTTGGATTTGATAGATTTTTAAACTTTTTAATTTTTGCATTTCACTGAAAAGTCGACTTTTCTATTATTCGAATTTGTCGAACATGTTCAAATTTTCGCTTTTCGACTTTTCTATTTATTAATAATAACGCCGTCAATACGATCAGTATGGGTCGGTTCTCTGTGTGCGGTTCTCATTTAGTCTCCATCCCACCTCATTCGTAAACAATACGGTTCTCATTTAATCTGCATCCTACCTCATTCGTAAACAAATACCATTCTCATTTAGTCTCCATCCCACCTCATTCGTAAATTTTCGGTTATACCACTTTGACATCTTCTTTATCGGCCATTTTGTACGTTTTTGTGTACTTTTTGTACGTCTTTGACGAAACGTTTATCACTGAGCACGTGGTGGTGTATTGGAATTATTTGTTTTGATAGCTGCTTTGAAGAAACGATTTGTTAGAAAACACTGCAAGGAGAATGGTTGTTATATCCGGAGAAGGACCAAAAAATAAGAAGATCGTCTTTGATGATGAAGGTGATGTGGTGACGGAAGAAAAGCAGCATAAGAAAAAGAAAAACAAGGAAGAAAACACAGCAAGCATCAGTGGAGATGAAGAAGAGAGTACCAAAAAACCTGTTAAGGTGAAAAAAGAGAAAGGAAGTGTTCCAAAGCACTCAAAAAATAAAAATGAGGATATTGATGATGCAGAGACTCCCAAGAAATGGTATGAGGTGGTAAGTATTAATTTCACACCTGAAAATGAAGAGATTTTTAATTGGATTGTTTCGATTTCACCCCCGTTTAGTATCCCCAATACCCCTCCAGTGAGGAAATCTTGGATATGAAAGACAGTGAACAAATGGAGCTTCACAATTTGTGTCGTACCTCATACGAACAGGAGAAGTCAGCATTTATGAAAAGTAAGTACATTTTGGGAAAGGGGACAAGATTCTCCCAAAGGACGGATATACACAGCTGTTTATATTTACAAATTACTTAAGAAAAATACTAAAATCTTGGGCCTAAGGATAGAAAATTAAGTGTCTATGGCGAAATTTGAAACCATATTAATTGGGAAGCATTGCTACAAATCTTTTGAACTATCTTGGTGACAAAAACCCAAACCTCACGTTTGAATTAATCTTCTTGCCAGGAACGTTTATTATAATTTCCAATAATAACTTTTGTTTATACTTATTTTTATTTTAGAAAATCCCTCGGATGCCCGCTGGTTACAGACTGCCCTACACAAAGGTACATCCAAAGATCGTGCCAATGCTGGTGCCTTGTTGGTAACAAGCAACCCACTGGCCAATCTGGAAGCCCTTTCCACATTGATTGGTTTCACTAAAATGTCCAATAAATCATGTGTTGAAGTTATAACAATTATAACAGACCTGTGGAAGGAGGTTCTATTGCCGGCTTTTCGTAAACTATATTCCATACAAATGCGTGGTGCCGACTGGAAGGCTGTACGCAAGGATAGCAATTTAACAAAAGAACAGCAAAGGAAAATCTATGCATATTGGCATTTTGAAAATGAACTAAAGGATTTGTATTTTGGTGGGTATTATTATGGTAGAAGAATTTTTACTTAATATTAAAAATTTCCTCTGTTTTACAGAGTTTTTGAAAAATTTACAACAAAGTCTACAAGGTGGTCAGGAAAATAATAAGACCACCTCAATTGTGGCTGCATCCCAATTACTTATGTATGCTCCGGAAAAGGAGCAAATGCTACTCACCATGTTGATTAATAAATTGGGTGACCCTTTGGCCAAGGTGGCCTCCAAGGCCTTGCATCATTTAACCGATGTGGCACATCGACATCCCAACATGTGTGGTGTTATTGTAACTGAAGCTGAAAAGCTACTCTTCCGTAACAACATTTCCGAGAGGGCACAACATTTTGCTTTGTGCTTTTTGGCCAGTATTGCACCAGCCGGTAGACCCGAAGTTTGTACAAAATTGGTAAATATTTGTTTCGCCCTCTTCAAGGTGCTGGTACAAAAGGGCGCTGTGAATAGCCGTACCATGCAGGCCATTTTACGATGTCTACAAAAAGCCATTGTTGAGGCTAAGCCGACAGATGGCAATAAGGAATTGCTAAGCAAAGATATGCAGGATACCATTTATCGTTTAGTTCACTTAGCCGATATACATGTGTCGATACAAACCTTGGGTTTGCTACTGCAATTGGTCACGGTGAAAACCGAAAAAGGAGATCGTTTCTATAATGCTCTCTATAAAAAGTTATTGGATATGAATCTGACCACAATTGGTAATAAGACAGCAGCCCAACTCCTTCACATTGTTCATCGTGCTGTGTACATAGATTCACATGTACCACGAGCCCAAGCTTTTATTAAAAGGCTTCTTCAATTGGCTTTATACACTCCGTCAAATGTGGCGGCAGGCTGTTTGATTGTTATACAAAAATTACTCCAGACACGTAAGGAGCTGTCTCCAGATTATGTTAAGAGAAATGGGACGGAAAATGTAACGCCGTTTACAGGCAAAATTTTACCCACCGATGAGGAATTAAATAAATTCGATAGTGATGGTGAGGAAAAATATGAAGATGTGCCAGAAGACGCCAAGGAGGAGGGTGTGAAAGAAGATTCAAAGGAGGCTATCAAAACGGAGGAAAAGAAACCATCATCATCATCGTGGCATCATACCAAGGTTGCTGAAAATAAAAATACTGAAGGGAAAGTAAAGGAATTGGCCCCCAGTAAATATGATCCATTCCATCGTGTACCAGATTTTGCTGGGGCCGAATTTGCCATGCAAAATGAATTGTTATTGCTGCGCAGACATATTCATCCCACAATTGAAGTATTTGCGGAGAGTGTTTTAAATAGTAAGAAACTGAATATTAAACGTATTGAATTTAAAATAATTTTATTTTTCTATTTCCAGATAAACGCATCGACTATTATGGTGATCCATTGAGAGATTTCGGTTTGGCCCATTTCCTAGAAAGATTCTCCTTTAAGAATCCCAAAAAATTGGAAGATAAATCGGCCGCTGTTTCCCAGCATCCCTTGGCCCACAAATCATACAAATCCTATGGAACACGTGGCATGCCAGTGAAATCCCTAACTAAGAACAATTGTACCGAAGAGGAAATGTTCATATTCAATTATTTGGAACACAAACGTAAACAAGCTGAGTTGGTGAAGAGCAAAACCGGAGATGGTGATGATGATGAAGAGGAGGAGAGTGGTCTACAGGCCCGTGATGTTGATGATGACGAATTTGAAGATTATTTGGATGGATTTTTCGGTAAAAAATCGAAAAAGGCCAAGAAGGAAGAAGAAGGAGAGATAAGTGATCCGGAGGAGTTAGATTTCCTCAAAGATTTGGGTGTTGAACCGGGCAAATCATCTGATGGTAAATTGAAGAAACCCAAAAGTAAAAAGAAAGTCACAGATGAAGATGATGTGGAGGATATTGATGCAGATTGGGGTGATGATGATGATGAAGACGATGAAGGCGACGATGAGGAGTTGGATGGTGATGTTGAATTTGAGGGTAATGATGTTTCAGATGATGAAGAAGGTTCCATAGATTTCAATGAGGATGATGATGATGAGGATGACGACGACGAGGGTGAAGTTGATCTCGATGACGATGATTTGGAAGGCGAGGAAGATCTTGATGAGGATGAAGATGATGCTTCAATGTCCGAGGATATGTCAGGCAGTGACGAAGATGATGATGATATGCTACCACCCAAGGCCAAGAAATCTAAGAAGGATGCCGCCGCTTCATTGAATGAACGCTCATTTGCCAAGAAATTGAAACACAGTACTGGTGAGTGTTACTATTAAATTTGTTTTTTTTTTTCAAACAGAATTGAAATAATAATTTGTTGTTCTTCATTGCAGACATGAGTTCATTGTTTGCCGCCGCCGATGATTTTGCCGAACTTTTAGAAGAAACTGGTAAAGTTAAGGGCCAGGGAACCTCAAACGCCGTCTTCAACAAAGATAAATCATCACAGAAACAGCTGCAGTGGGAGGAAAAACGCCGATCAAATACCAAAAACTATTCAAATAAATCGAAACAGCAGAAGAAGGCCGGCAAAGGCGGTAAATTTTCAAAGAGAAAATAATACAAAATAATTGAGATATATGATGTAATTTAATATAATTATTCTTAATTGAATATGAAATTGGTAATCAATTGTTTTTAGTATGTAATCATAATAAACTTTAAAAAAATATCAGAAGAAGTTTGTTTTTCATTTCTTACTTACAAAGCTCATTATAATGATGTGGGTGATCCCTTGGAAAAGGTGGCCTACAAGGGATCTAACCGTTGTGGCACATCGGCATCCAAATATGTGTGTGGATTAAAATTAACAGGATAAGTTTATGAAGTTATCTATATTAATAAAAGAATCAAGTGATTGACTGACTGATTTAACGATTCATCAACGCCCAGACGAAACGGCTGAAGCTAGAATCTTGGAAATTCGTACTAGAACTAAAAAGTACTAAATGTGAAACAATTTATGTGAGTTTAGGATTTGGATATGTACGTAGTTTTGGCAAATTTTGACTTATGTGTACGAAAAGTACTATATCGTACTATAATACAATTTGGATTTGGGTGAAACGATAGAGCGGGAACAATGAAATTTGGAGTCAGGATCATTGTAGAGGTGTAGGATTAGGGTCAGGTTTCAGTTTAACAAATTAATACTTATGGGTACTAAATTTGGTACAATTTGAATTTTTGGTGAACCAATAGAGCTATAATCATGAAATTTGGAGTCAGGATCACATTTGAGATGTAAGATTGAAATATGATATAAGATATATTGTTAACACTATTTATTGGCCTTGGAGGCTTTAGTGTTAAGGAATGAATTTCAATAAATAAAATAAAATAAATATGCAGGCAGTTTTAGAATTTGTACTAATGTGTACCAAATTTGGTACAATTTAAATTGTGGATGAAGCGATAGAGTTGAAATCATGAAATATTGACTTAGGATTACTGTGGAGGTATAGGATTGGGGTATGTAGGAAGTTTTGGAAATTGGTACTACTGTGTACTAAATTTGGTATAATTTGAATTGTGGGTGAACAGATAGTGTTGGAATCCTGAAATTTGGATTTAGGATCACTGTGAAAGTGTAGGTTTGGAGTAGGAAGGAGGATTTGGAAATAAGTACTACTGTTTACTAAATTTGGTACAATTTGAATTGTGGGTGAAGCGATAGCGTAGGTATCCTGAAACTTATATTTAGGATCACTGTGGTGGTGTAGGTTAGGGGTGAGTAAGACGTTTTGGAAATTCATACTACTGTGTACTATATTTGGTACAATTTGAATTGTGGGTGAACCTATGGAGTTGGAATCCTGAAACTTGGATTTAGAATCACTGTCGGGGTGTAGGTTTGAGTTGTTAGAAGTTTTGGAAATTGACTACTGTGTACTAAATTTGGAAATAATGTGTGCTAAATGGAAAATTTGGTAAAATTTGTATTTGGGTGAACCTTTAGAGCTAGAATCATGAAATTTTGTACTTAATAGTACTCAAATTTAATTTATGGTCGATATTAATTTGTGGATTTTTTCTGGCATATGCAGTTTTCTGTGAAAATAAAATAATATGTTAATACATGTTTAAATATTTCCAACATTCGCTAACAAAGTTGCGGGCATATGCTAGTTTCAAATAAACGATTTTTTTTTTTGAGAAAACATGCAACCAATTTTTTTATAAAAATTCTATATTTTTTAACAGCGAAAAAATATTTGTAGATAATTAAACAATTTTTTTGTATGTAAAATTTGAACCTTCAAGAACACATTTCTAAGATTTAAAATGAAAAAATATATAAAATAATATTAATATGTTTTTGCAAATTATAAGAAATGTCTAACTTCAAAAAACATATTTTTTTAAAAATCAAATTTAACATAACATTTTTAATTTTATGTTTTTTTAAATTAAATTTAAATACCTTTTTTAATTTTTTTTTTGGGAAATTGGAAAAATTTTAAAAAAATACTGGTTTATTACTTTTAATAATTTTTTAAAAAGTTGTTTCCAACATTTGTTTTTTTGACTGCTAAGCCAGTAAATGGTGTGGTAATTTCCCAGATTTTTTTTAACGATTCCTAGCCTAAACCGTATATTAATTAATTTTAAAACACACAAATTATATATTTTTTTCTTATTTTTTTATTTCTTTGTGATTACTTTTTTCTTTTATTATTATTCAATAGTTATACTAAAAAATTATTAACTTTATATAGTTAATTTTTTTTTGTTTTTTTTTGCTATTTAAATGTTATAAATTATTTTTGAAATGAAAGAAAAATAAATATGAAAATAAAAATTATAAAATCTTAGATTTAAATGTAGAGTGGGGAAGTTAGTGATGATGCTAGTTTTTTTAAGGAAATTTACACTTATATAAACCGATATACTTTATTTTTTGATTTTTTTTTTGTGTTATACTACATTTACAATTGCTTGAAAGTAAACAATTTTATATATTTATACATATATATTTTGATAACCGATAGATAGACAATAATAGAGATATACACGTAATTAGTCCTAAGTTTTTTATTATATAATGATGATTTCATTTATTTATTTTTGTATATTTTTACAAATGTTATTTTTTGTATTATTTTCTTTATTTGGATATATTCATTTTTTTCTCTTTGGAAATTGCATTCATATTCGGGTTCGATCCATTGTGTTTGAATTTTATTTTTTATTGTTTTTATTTCGACTTATGATTTTGTTTTGTTTTTTTTTTTTGCTTGTTTGTTCGGGAGAGTTAAGGCATCTTTTTCAAAGGCATCTGATCTGTTTATATTTTTTTATTACCTAACGATGGATTTGAATTTGTAATGGAATAATAATTAAGAGAAATTTTGGAAATGGGTTACGAAGAACAACATAGAAATATTTCAAAAAACAAAAATAATAATAATAGTCTGTGTGTTATAAAAAAGATAAAAACGTATTAAAAACTAAAAAAAAATTAAATTTTGTTTCATTTTCAAAAAATACGGTTTTTCTTTTAGAATATTTATTTAAAAAATACTCTATTAAATAAAAATCTCAAAAAGAAAAATCATATTTTTAAAAATCTTTATCAAGAAATATATATATTTTTTTTAATTTTTGGACGATTGTTTAAATATACAAATATTGAAAAATTCTTGCCTTTGAAGATCAAACAAAAATTAATTATTGAAAATAAACGTCTAAGTCGTAAAATTCATAGTCGTGTTTGAAAAGTTCGAGGCGTTGGAGAATCAGGAATTTTTTTTTTTAACTGAAGGCTAGGTCTTCTTCGTAGAAGAGCTCAAGAAGGTCTTTCTAATAGAAGAGCTCAAGAAGGTCTTCTTCATAGAAGAGCTCATGAAGGTCTTCTTCATAGAAGAGCTCAAGAAGGTCTTCTTCATAGAAGAGCTCAAGAAGTTCTTCTTAATAGAAGAGCTCAAGAAGGTCTTCTTAATAGAAGAACTCAAGAAGGTCTTCTTCATAGAGGAACTCTAGAAGGACTTCTTCATAGAGGAGCTCAAGAAGGTGTTATAATAACGAAGAGCTCAAGAAGGTCTTCTTCATAGACCACCATTTAAATATTTTCATGTGGCTTTACAAAGGTCGTATGTTGATAACTTGTATTTATTCCGCCCTGATGCGAAACTTGCATATTCGAATTAAATTCAAATTTGTCAAGATTCGACATTTGTCTTCTTTCTAGAATTAGTTCTTTTCAAAGCAGATTTTTGTTGTAGTGATGGATAATTAATCCACACACCTACAATTGCTTCCTTGGTATAATTATCCATCGTTACAACAAAAATCTGCTGTTTCTAGAAAGAAGACAAATGTCGAATCTTGACAAATTTGAATTTAATTCGATATGCAACTTTTGCATCAGGGTTATCAACATACGACCTTTGTAAAGCCGCATAGCCCAATATGCCTGATAAGCCGTTTAACCAACAGCGAAACGCGTCGCATAATGGTGGGTACGTTTTTCTCCTGGCTCTCCTTTACATTGCAAAACTTGGATCATTAAGCTCGACTCGAAAGAGTATAAATAACTCACTCATAAAAAAAAATATTTAAGAATATTTAAAAAAATTTTCAAAAATGCTTTAACAAATACTTTATTTAAATACTACCAAAAAAGTTGTCAAAAAAATAGTAATTAAATATTTAAAAAAATATATTTAAAACAAAATCAATATATATATAAAAAAAATGTATATATATATATATATATATATATTAATTTGATTTTTTAAAGAAAATATTTTTTTATAAAATAAAATTTAACATTTTTCCCTGAACCAATTTAAAAGTTGCCCAAGATGGTTTTATAAAAACAAAAATTAAAAAAATATATAAAAAAGTTGTTTTTAATGTTTTTTATTGATTTTAAAAATTTATTTCATTTTTAGTTGTTGTTGTTTTTTGGCCCTTAAAATCTTTCTAAATCTCTTAAATAACTCATAAATGTTTTTTGTTATATAAAGAAATTGTAATAAAATGATTAATTAAAAATAATAATGTTTCTACCTACCACCTAACTTTGAAACAATATAATGTTGTTATTGTTTTATGTGTGTGTGCAAGAAAGGATTTCAACTAAATTAAATATGCAAACAAATGCAATTCTTAAGTGAATAACAAAAATATATATAAATTTCAATAATAAAATAAAATACAGAAAATTATGTAAGGGCTTTGTAATGCGTAAAAATATGAACAAATTGAAAATTGAAAATTAAATAAAAAAGAAACAAAATAAGCATTAAATAATTAGCATAATCAACAAAAGAAAAACATAAGCAGTTAGGGGGCATGATTGTTTCCATCAGCTCTCAAAAAAACCAAAAGATGTAATTATTAGAGAAAAATTTGCGTCTTTTTAGTTTCATTTTTCTCTTCCTACCAGTTTTTTTATTTTAATTCAAAAATTTTCAATTTCATTAATTATTTTTGAGTTTTTTATCCACTTACTTCTTCTTCGGTAATATTAACTAGCTCTTTTAATAATTAAAAAAAAAGATCCACATTCACTTATGTAAGTAAAATCCATTATATAAACATCTACCCTTTTTAAAACAAAAAAATATATTTTATATTTTTGAAATTTTTTAAAAGTAATATTTTTTTAACTTATTTTTTCGCCATGAGAAACATTTATTTTTTTGTTGATAACTTAAAAAAAGTTTGATAATTTCATATTCTATATTTTTTTATTGTAATAAACCATGTTAAGAAATCATAATAAAGCAAATAAAATATATTGGTATATAATGTTCATAAATTGTGTGTGTGTAGGCTTTTTATAAATGTATTAAATATTATTTCTATTACAAAATCAATTTAATAGATAGATGTATATATAAACACATATATTGTTTTTTATTGGGTAGGGAGGGTCGATCTTACACTTTTAGAAGAAGTTTAGATATGTTCTAATATTATTATTATTTATATTGAATAACAACAACGAATTTAAAAATTATTGAAATATAATTATTTTTATATAAAGAAAGAAAGAAAAAAATAATATTAATTTATATATAAGGTATACAACATTAATGTTGTAACAAAATGTATTTATAGTTATTATTATATACATAAATCATAATGTAAAAAAATAATTATTTAATTTATGTATTTGTGTGTAGGTTTTCATATTTTTTGTTTATAATAAAATATTAATATGTCTGAAAAGTGGGAGAGTGGTGGCAGAAAATAAAGAAGATCAGATCTCAGGGGGTTTCCTTACTTATTTTGTGTGAGATGGTGGTGGTGAGGTTGGTAGTGTTGTTGGTTATGGGAGTTTCTTACCATTAATTTAGTATCAAGGCCTTATTAGTTTATTCTTTATAACTTGCCCCCACATTTTCAAAATCATTTGTCAGTGGTGATGAAATGCAGAGAGGTTTTAGTTTTTGTGGCGTATACGAACAGCAACAACAACCCGAGTGTTACTCGAACAACAATGGCAATTCAATTCATTCGGCACCAATTATAAATTCGTTACAAAAACAAAGGTTTAATTTTTTAAATCCTTTTTGCTTTTTTCACATTTGGTATAAACAAAAATATTTTTATTTAATTCAAACAAAAAAAAATATTTTCTTAATGAAAAATATATATATATATATATATATAATTATGCTAAAAAATCTATTTAAATTATTTTTTTTGTTTAAATTAAGAACATTAATTTGTTGTATTTAAAGATTTTTTTATGTAAACAAATGACTTTGATAAACCACGATTTTTTACTACATTTTCAATAAAAAAATATATTTCAATAAATTATTTTTAATTAAAAATAATTATTTTTAGTTAAAAATAATTATTTTATTAAGAAAAAATAAGATAACGTTTTATTAAAAAAGTTTTTATTAATAAAAAATATTTTTTAATAAAATAAAATGATTATTTTTAAATAAGAAACAATTTGTCCAAGAAGTTATTTTTCAAGTAATTGAATTTAAAAGAAATGTTTTTCTTCATGATTTTTTTTTTAGAAATCGGATTAAAAAAAACATTTTATTAATGTTTTTATTGAAAAAAATCTATCTATTTATTTTTAATTGATTTACCTTTGTTGTTGTACTAAAAGACTGCAAACAGTACGTTGTTGTTGTTGTTAACATACATAAGTCCTGTTAACATTTTCCCGCCATTTTCTTTTGTTTTTGTAAACAAACAAAATATAACTCCCACCCTATTTTGTCTTCTTCTTTAAATATTACCGCCTTGAAAACGGCATGCAGTGACCAGCTGAGAATAAAAACATAACATAATTAATATACACGACGACGAAAATCATTCGAAAACATAACGCGCCCGTTGTGCACGTGTACTGCGTGCCGGTTGACGTCGACCGCTAACTCCATTCCCCACGGATTGTGGTGGTGCTATGTGCGTGGACGATAATCGATGTGCTTCTTTGTGCACTGATGTTGGTCTTTGCTGTTGCTGTTCCAAACTTTGTCTACCACTACTACTGTTCCTATTCTTATATACACGACGTTCAATATTGAAATGCTTTAAAGCCACTTGCGCATGATGCAACATAAGATTAAAAGCACGTAATCTTTGTTTACACTTGAGGGTATCGGTAAAGCCCTGAAAACTGTTGTCGTCGTCATTCTCTACAACTACGTCGGTCACCACACTTTCCACAATTAATGATGAGACTGCGGCGGAGCGGCCGGTGCGTTTCTTGTTTAGAACCACAGCACCAGTCGCAGGAGGTTGGAGTTTTTTAATATTTCTCTGGGAGGAGGAAATTGTTATCGACTTCGAGTCTAATTTGCTAAGTTTGTTGTTGTCATTTGTGGTTGTCATCGCCGTCGTCGACGGCGGCGGCGTCGTTTTGTTGGTAACTATTGTACTTGTTGCTCTTCGATTGCTGGCATTGGAATTATTGTTTAATGGTTGTACATTGCGCACGGAATATCTGGTACTGGCTATTTTTGTTGCGGCAGGCGCAGGTGCATCAGCAACCGGAGTTACTAAAGGCAATGGTGGCTGCTGTTCGTCAACCGTCATATATGTACGCTTGCACCGTCTTAGGGAGGCCAACGAAGTAATTAGGGCATTGAGTTGTTTTGTTGTTGGTGGTGGTGTGTTTTCATCAAATCCACAAAAATCTTCTAAATCTGAAGAAACAGGAGAAGAAGTCGAATTGTCATTGAATTTTTGTACAGCACGTCTGTTGTTTCTTCTCGTTTTAGCGGGTTTATTTTTATTTGTGGTTGTCGCGGCTGTTTTGTGTTTTTCACAAACTTCTTTAACAGGTTCACTTTCCTTAGAATTACTTTGATCCAATAAATCAATGATTGATACATTCTTTGTTTCATTTGGTGATTTCTTCTCCTCCTGCACCTGCTGCTGCTCTTCCTGCTCGTTCTCCTCAGCAATGCTTTCAAGTTTCAAATGATTTGTAGAAACAGTCTCAGCAACTTGTTGCTCTGGTTGTATCTCGGCAATTGGTGATAATGGCGCTGGTACTTTTTCTTCCACAATTTGTTGTTTATCCTCCACCTCCTCTTCTTCTTCGGCAATTGTTTCACATTTGATTTGTTGCACTTGCTGCTCTTCAACCTCTTCCTCCTCCTCCTGCATTTGTTCATGTAAAATTTGGAACCAACTATGATCAACAATTTCTAAAAGTGTCAACCTTTTGCTGGCATCCTTTTCAAGGCAACCCCTGATAAGATTTTGTAACTCGGAGCTGGCCTGTTGCCACCGTTTGGATTCCATATAAAAGTCTTCCGACAATATCCGTTGACGATGGACTTCCAAGCTAACTGCTCGATCCTCTCGGCCCCGCCGAAAGGGTGAATGGCCCATATACATGGTATATAGGGTGGTACCTAAACACCAAATATCCACAGCTTTGGAATATGTGGCCAATTCAGGATCTTCTAACATTTCGGGTGGGGCATAGTCAATGGTAAAACGTGGACTATCACTCCAAGATTCCATATCGCCATGATAGCTAAAAAATCGAATAATATTTAAAAGACATTATTATACCGTAACAAAAAAATGGGTCCACAATTTTCTATAACTCACCACGCTGCACCGAAATCCACCAACTTCGTTTCGCTTATATCATTGCCAGCGAAAATGATATTTTCCGGTTTCAGGTCACCGTGAATAAATTGCCGCTTGTGTACATGTTGTAGGGCATCCAGCATTTGCACAATAACATGCAGACATGACAACTCATCCATTCCCTCATCATGCTGTACAATGTAATCGGAGAGCTCACAGCCAGGTACATATTCTTGGACAAGCCAAATATCTGAACCATTACGGTATGCTCCGAAATGTTGTGCTATACATTTATGACCATCTTGGGCACATGAGATCAAAGCATCCAATTCGGAGGGTCGATATTTGTTTGATGGTATAATTTTGACAGCAACATTGCTGTGACGCAACTCATCCCAACCGAGATAACATTTACCGAATGCGCCACTACTACACAGCTCTTTGAGTTGTATGCTATTGGGAGCGGGTAGGGGGTCCTGAAAAATAGAAAGAAAATAATTACAAAAAAATATTAAAATAATAATAAAAAACACATAAAAAATAGTACATACCAAAACACTTTTATTACAATATTCCAAATAAAAATTGCATTGCATTTCAATTTCGGGCTCAACTTTGCTGCGATGTTGCGGTGCCACATATGAATAACCACGAAATAGACGATGTGTATTAGCGGGTACCGGAGCCGGTGAATCAATAGCCGGTTGTTTGGTAAACTCCTCACTGAAATTCTGTGTATCATCTTCACTATCCAGGGCGGGTTTAAATGGTGCTTTTCGCCTCTTACTCTTCAGCTCATTCCAATTGATGCCACGGAAAAATGGATGATTTTTAATTTCCGTGGCATTGGCGCTATTGCCGCCCAAACGTTTCTTCGGATCTTTGTGTAACATTTTCAAAATGAAATCTTTAACATGTTCGCCAAGGGTTGGAGGTAGTACGGGATCAACTTTTTGTATGCGTCGTGAAATGTCACTTTGCGAATTTTGCTGTTCGACAACGGTAAATGGTGAGGCACCGGTTAACAGTTCATAGGTCAACACACCAACGGACCACCAATCGACGGCAAGATCATGACCATTTGGACCGGCACGTATTATTTCCGGTGCCATATATTCAAGTGTACCACAAAAACTATGCGCCCGATGATCGGAATCGGGTGCAAATATTTTCGATAGTCCAAAATCGGCTAGGACAATATGTCCCTGGCCATCGAGTAGTATATTTTCCAATTTAATGTCACGATAAATAATGCCCAATTTATGTAAATGTTCCAATGCCAAAACCACTTCGGCTATATATACACGTACAGTCGATTCGGAAAAATGTTCGGCCTTATATAAATGTGTAAAAAGTTCACCACCACTGACATAATCTGGAATTGTGTTTATAACATGAATATTATTTGTAAAATTTCTTACAAAAACAATGCGGCACTTACCCAAAACTAAATACAGTTTGGAATCGGTTTGAAAAGCATAGTGTAGTCCAACAAGGAATGGACTTTGTTGTATTGCTTCAAGGACCTAGAATTAATTGAAACAAAAAATTTTTGTAAAAAAAACTATCATTACACAGAACATTTTTGGAATAGTATATATGCAAAATGTAATTCTTTTTCTTTAAATTTTGTTATGCTTTATTATTTAAGTTTATGCTAGATGTAAGAGGAGCTTAAATAATTGTTGTATTGTGCAACTATCAATGGCCATTTAGGCTTTGTTGCAAAAAAGCGAAATAAATTAAAAGAAATAATTGTACCAATCTGTCTGAGATGTTGATAAACTTATATCGGAATTTATGGATCAATGTTCCATACACAATATATATGGACTGCCTATTTCAAAGGTTATGGCTGGCGCTTAATCGTTTAGGTTATCTGTTGAATAAATCAACGACTCTATGTATAAGAGTACATACCTGTCTTTCGGTGGTTGTATGTTCGGCAGTTTTCTTTTTTTGTACTACGGTATCCTTCTTCAGCACCTTCATAGCATACAGTTGATCTTTATCTTTGCCCTTGAGTTTGCGTACCAGAAATACTTTTCCATAAGCTATTTACAATAGAAAATCATATTTCAAAAAAAAATATTCATAAAAAAGATCTTGATAATTGAGTTAGTTACCTCCTGTTCCGAGTACGCGTATCAGCTTAAAGTGAGATAAATCGACTTGTTCTTCTTGCTTGACAACATCTGAAAAAAAAACATAAATATTTTTTTAATGAAACGTAGTAATAAAATACAATAATCGATATTTTAGAACATCGGAATAGTCATGACCATTCAAGGCTGTTATACAAGTATAGACACCTATGCAGCAACGTACACAGGATTTCATTTCGGGAGGGCCCGGTAGTACAAAATGAAAAATTCGCGGTTGTAAACATAATTTTACAGTGGAAAAAATTCATTGCGTACGTCCCTGCACCTATGGATATATTCCCTGCCAGCCTATGTTTGGATAGCGCAAAATCTACTACTAGATTGATGAAAGATTATTTAAGTAGAAAGCGTTTTAAAGTCACTTTAGCTACCTCTCAGTTATACGGTGAAGGACTCCTTTTCATGGGGGAGGGCTTTGTAGACCGGTAAAAATATCAGTTTGATGTATGTGTGATGTGATATAAGATATACATACTAACGTACTACCAGGGTTAAACAAATTCTAGTAATGTAATTACCCAAATATTGACGCCAATAAGAACAAATATTCCTCCTCACAAAATTAAATTTCAGGCGGAGTTGTAAAGAGTTTTATATGGTTTGTCGAACTTCAGATTGCATATTGCAAAAATTTAATGGACTGGGAAGAACCACGTTAAAGTTGTTGTAAAGAGACTATTTATTACTATAGACTCTCTGACCCGTCTGGTAACTCTAGTTCGTAAATTGGACTATGGCAAAAATATAGAGGTTGTGAACTATGTACTAGGCTGCTTAGGGTTTCTTTTATAATAACATTTTAACATAATTTTTAAATAATACTTACAATTTGTATGAACCTGAGTAACTTCCTCAATTTCACGTTGTAAACGTTCCACGTCCGATCCGGAATTATTTTGACCATTATTGGCAGCAGTATTATCTGTGGGCTTTTTATCAGCTTTGCTTGAACTGCCACCACCGCCACCAGATGACTTTGTGCCATTGGCTGTGGTTTTTGATCCCGAAGCCTGTTGCTGTTGTTTATCGACTACAGCATAGTTATGGCTAGAGTGATTACTATTACTGCCACTGCTGCTGCCATTAACAATAAATGTAGGAACATTGGCATTCGACTTGCCATGACTTCCATTACTGGTAACACTACCACCTCCACCATTTTTCATTTTATTTGGTTTAGTTGAATTGGCTGCTGCTGTGGTATCATCATCATTATCACTATCGGGAACCTCGACAATTTCATTTGATCCAGACGAGGGTGTCATCTTTGGATAGCTGCTACTACCAACAACAACATTGTTGTATAAATTGTTGTTGTTATTGTGATTATAGTTGGCACTTGAACTTATTTTACTGTTTGATATTGGATTTTTGGTTTTTTGTAACATTTTCAAATTACTATTGTTGGTGTTGTTGTTATTGTTGTTGTTTGTCGTATAGTCTCTGGTTTTAGATTGCGTTGAGTTTTGATAATTCTGATATGAGGCGGCAATTTTACGCTGTTGATGATCGGTGTGTTGATCATAGATGTTGTTGTTATTGTTGGCATATATATTACGGGATGTTGTGCTGGAGCTGGAGGAATTTGTAATGTCTTTTGAGGACCGCTTTGTCAAATTTACACCCACACCAGTTGTTGAGCTGTTGCTGTGTTGGTTATTGTAGACTTTTTGTCTTTTATTGTATTTGGCCACCTCATTGGAACGTTGTCGTATGCGTTTACTTCCACCACCACCTCCACTGTAACCATAGGCATCTTCCGATGTATCCTCATAATAACCACTTTCATGTTCCATTTGCCGGCGATTGGACATTTTGGAATAGTTGTTGTATGATGATGAAGCTTTGCTAGTACTATTGTGGTAACGACTCATGTTAGAGGGGGGGCCAGGTGGTTTTTCTTTTAATTATTGTTTGTAGAGTTTGTTTTTTCTCCTTTTTGTTTTTGTTGTGTCTGGGAGAGGTATTTCTTCTGCAACAAGGAAGATCACCCACACGTTGCTGCTGCTGATTATTATTATTATTATCCCTTTAGAAAGAATGCTCCTTGCTGGGGATAATAAGGAAGCCTTAAATAATATTTAAGAGTATAGATTTTTGGTCATCATATTTGATCTGAAACAAAAAAGAAGAAGAGAATTAAGAGACATAAATAAAACTGTAAAAAACAAAACAAGTACATCATCATCATTATCACAATATTTTTTATTTGCCAAGATATGCTGATCATTGGATAACGGATAAACAAAATGAGGCCATGGTGAAAACTTTCTTCTCAGCCAAACAAATGGGGACAAGATCGTTTTGGTTAGTTTTACAACACCACCATCTTACCTCCTCCTGCCTATCATGTACGTGTGTGTGTGGTATTTTGTTATGATGGAATTCCTGGCCTCGTGCTGATATTTGTTATATTGTTTTTTTATACTCCAATTGCCCAATTGCTCTGTCGTTGTCTACAAAATTTTTGGAACTGTATCCTCTACCAAAATTCCCAAAATAAACTCATAATGACGACGAAGGCGAAGAAGAAGATATACAACAAAATTGGAGATTCTCATAGCAGCACACACATTTCCCTTCTCATTTCAAAGAAGACAATAATAATGCAGAACTGATGAAGAAAATGTCAATTGGCAGAGCGAGCGAACGTACATATGAGCGTGTGAGTGAGCACAAATGACAGAACGCAACGTCAATGATAGGCGGCTGCCTGCCAGCCATTGACTATGGACTGCAGTGCAAAACACTTTGATATATCCTATGGACTATTTTGACAGACCACCAGCCGGACTGTCACTGCATTTTGTATTTCCTTTGAAATAATTCCATATATAATTGGTCAACGTACGGCCGTCGTCCACAAATTCCTGTAGTTTGGCGGTCAAATAACAACAACAGAGGGTGGCTGACATAGTTCTGTTACCATTTTCCTTTTAGGTTCTTCTTCTTTTTTCTTAAATTTAAGCCACAAAAAATACTAACAACACAATAAGTAATTTTACAATGGAAATTTCAACATATTCCGCTGCTGTCTGTCTTTCTGTCCCGTCGTCCCGCATACGACGATAATGATGATAAACTACAAGGTGAAACCTCATTGCCTGAACCGCTGCTGCTGCGGTATGCATGCATGTGTATGCTGGTCGCCGTCACAGCTGACGTCTCTGCTGAAGCGCGCCATAGAAGTGAGAGTAGTTGTCAATGGCATTTACAATTTTTCCCACTAATTTTATTTAATTTTTTATTTGTTTTGCAATAACATATTATTCCTTTATTCTTTTTTTTCTCACTCAATAAGAAAATCTGCACGGTAGGAGGAATGAAAGAAAATATTACCGCGTATGTTTTCTTTTCTTTATTATTTAGCTGTTTGATGATATTTCGACGTCGTGTCATATAGACTAAAATTATTTCACACGCACGCACATACACAAATTCACCATTTCTCACAAAACACAACACACACACGTTCACCTATGCGTTCGAGACGCACTCATACAATAGCGCCGTTTTTTTTAATTTTTCTTCTTCTTTTTATTTGAAAGTTTGTTTCCTTTGATTATTCGTCGTAATGACAGCTACATTACAAACACCAATACAATGCAATTGGTGTGTGCGTGTGTGAAATGCAGCAACAGCAAAGAGAAATTTGTTTCGTTTTTTTCTTTTACTTTTCGTTTTAACTTTATCTACAGTTGTTTTTTGTGGGTTCTGTTTTATTTTTAGGTGAGAGCTAACATTACCCCAATTTATTTTAACACTTTTTTTTGTTGTTTCAATTGTTTATACGATGAAAAATAAACGACACAATTTTTAATTAGTTTTACTACTTGTACCGTCGTCGTTTTCAAAACAAAAAACAGAGAACAGCAGCAGAAGCAGAAGCACAGTACGACTAAAAATGCGCTAGGCAACATTCGTTTGGATGACACGAAAATAGTGATGCCAACTGGAAGATTTGTTTTTTCGCGGTTTCCATTTACCACATAATTTACAGTAATTACTAAATTTTTATTAGCTATGCATAAGATAATAAAAACAGCACATTTATCATAATTATCATTTATTTTTGTCTATTCTCAACAAAGATTTTCAAGAAATAAAACAAAAGAACATGATTTTTTTTTTAATTACAAAACACTAGACCCCTTTTCTTTATAAACACACAGGCATTGACAACACTGCAATAAAACACACACACAAAATGACATTTCTTATTTCTGGCAACGAAATTGAATTCTAAACAAAATTCACAAATGAAAATGGAATTGAAGTAACAGGGTGTTCATATCACCACAAACACACAAACGATTGCTGGCAACTTTACATTGAAGAAGACATTTTTTTATCTTATGAAACACTTAACGCGTGATATGTCTTCGTTTCGATACTTCTTTCAATTTTCAATACTTTATTCTTACACTATTTAATAGAATTATCCGTTTTGAATGTTTATAATTTTTACAATTTGTCGTAGAAACTAGAGGCGAGATAACGCGTTTCGTGCGCAGTTATTTTTTTATGTCAACTGATTCTACTTGTTACTTGGCAGCTGTTTGACATTTGGCAACAGGGCGGTTCACAAATAGCAATATCTTTACTACTACTATGTTACATTAGGTGGGGAATATTATGGATTATTAGATTATCAAAATTAAATTACTGATTGTTAATAAAATTAAATCTAATGAAATGCTTAATTAACATTAAAAAAATTATATGAGTATAAATTAAAACTAAAAAACGTCTTCATATGTTAATAGAGACCATGGATAGCATGAATAAATAGAACCTTAAATGATGACGCATTTCACTCGTCAAAGTGCTTTGTTTCATAAAATATAATAGGTCTGAATTATGTTACTTAAACAAATTCGAAACATATTTATTTAGATCTTAATTTCAAAGCGTAGAGTCAACAAATTAACAAGGAAAATTAAATAAATAGTACTTCTCAATTTTTCTGCCTTAATAAAAAAGTATGTATGTGAATATGTCATATTAATACACTTTCTTAAGTAGTTAGTAACTTGCCAAATAATTGAAATCGAACTTAATGATTTCCAGTTGCATGTTTTTTAATAAATAAATATTAATTCAAGCCCTTATTACTCTTTTTACTCGGCTGAATTTGTCTAACATAAAATAGAAAATAATATAAGTTATTGTTTTCACTCTTTAAGATTGGTCATTTTGTATTTAACTCCATTAATATCTAACAATAATGTCCTTCAATTGTTTACGTTCTAAATCAGGTACTTTACAATCAGCCGCAGGATAACCAACCGGTAATAAAACTAATAACTTCTCATTGGCAGGTCTATTTAGTAGGGTACGTAATGCTGGACCACAATTTAATGGAGTGGTAATCAGCGAACTTAATCCTGCCGCCTGCAGGGCACATAATAGAATACCCACAGATATCGACACCGATATCTCATTGTAATAATGTTGCTTACGTTTGCCATCTTTCGTTAGACCATAGGTTTGTTTGAAAACCAATATCAAATATGGAGCATCGGTTAGATATGGTTTTACGTGATTTGTTTTCAGTGGCCTCAAATCCGTGGTCCATTGTTTATGCATACGTTGAGCATAGTTTAGTTCCTCTTCGGCTTCAATTATATTACGTATATTTTGTTTTATTTCGGGATCGGTAATAACACAAAATGTCCAGGGTTCTGTATGGGCTCCACTTGGTGATGTACCAGCCGTACGTATACAATTTTCAATTACCTCAATGGGAGGTATTGGCTGCGGTCTATATGAACGTACACTACGCCGATTGTTCATTATTTTGTAGAATTCTGCAGCTCCACCAGTGAGTGTTACAGTGGCTCCAGCATATGGTATGTGTTCTTTTTCTTCCAGTGCAGGTGTGTAGTCGACATCTTCGGCATTTGAAGTAGAATCAGCTAAAAGATAGTTTCTAATTAACATTGAAATATTATTTTACAAATATTCATATTACCAAATATTTCTCCTCTGATATTTTCTTTATTAACTACTGCATTGTTGTTCCTTTTGTTCCATAGCCATTTACTTAAAATTCCCATAAGCGTAATTGTAAGTATTACATTCCAATATTTTAGAAATATCGAAGTTTCCAAAATCTGTTCCACTGCCATTGTGTTTGAATAAAAGTACTGAATTGATGTTCATTGACTCCCATGAAATGTTGAAAGTGATTGAAATAAAAAAATGTAGGTCAAGTGACTCTGTATTGGAGGCTGGGTATCAGCACTTCACCGACACACACATTGCAGAATACAGGCAGACAAAAACGTAATATTGATAAGGCAATACCGGTTTCAATGTGGTCTCATGATATACCATTGTACGATTTATTGTTGTTTGAAACGTAAATAAATAATTTAGAATATAATCGATTTTTATAATAATTTAGTAATAAAAATATATATGTATATAGAAATGACGATATGATTGGAATAACAGCAGATAACTGCTTTGATTTCACAATTTTGAATGGACAATAGTAGTGCCACTAGGACAACTGTCCGACTTTATTTTGAAAATGAAATATTTTCGAATCCTCAAAATAAAATTTGAGAAACGTGAATGAAAATCTATCAAATTTATATTTCTATTGCTTCCACGCCTTTCCTATAATTAGGTCATTGCCACTTATATGTGTAACGCGTATGAAAATGCAGGGAATTGTGAATTATTCCATGAAGAAAGATGTGCTTCCTCAAACTTTCCCAGTAGGCAGATTGAGAAAAATTGAATACGGGAGCACATTTAATAAAGAATCATTTCAAATTGTATGCGTTCCCAATTTTCCTGTTGGGTGATTTTTCAAAATATAATTTGTCAAATTCATATTGACACTAGTATTACGTTGGAATCAAATCAGCTGGGTTTTGCTGTTAACTTTTATATTTGTACCATGCCTATTATACATGTATTCATAACTAGAAAGTATACAAGGTAGTCTCATGCAGTCATATGTTTCCAATTTTTTTTTAAATTAGCTTTTATCATCAGCTTTTAAATGAAAATATCTTCCTACGAAATGTAGGCATATGATGTGTTCAGGGCAAAAATTCCTAAATAATTTATATTTATAAATATTTTGAAGTTCCCTGCCTCTAAAACTTATGAATATAAGATGTAACAACCATGGTTATATATTGAGAGCAATGTTTAGCTTTAGAAAATATATTTTGTTTAATTTATTGAAAATATGCCAATCGACATACATAACATTTTATGGAATTTAATCTGTCATATTATTCGAATTTGTTAGATGAGTTCCATGGCACAATAAATAGGTAGTCCATTTAGAGCAGCTGATGTCTCGATTAACTGTCAAAATGTATAATTTCTACATGAATTCGATGTGCAAAATTTTGACAGAAGGCCGAGACAAAAACAAAGGTTTTTGTTGTGATACATCACCTTATTATTGTATCATGATGAGTTCCAAATTAAAAAGGGTTGCCATCATCAATTTCTCAACTTCTGTAATTATGCCATGACTAGAATTTAATCTATAAATAAATTATTTTTTTATACTTAACTGACTGACCAACAACCATGAATGTCTTGTACCTGATAAATGATGGATATGAACGGCCACTCGATCAAACAAGCATAATTTAAATCAATCAGGCAATCAAATCTAATCGTGTGTAATCACCTTAAGTATAATAAGTATCAATGTAAACGTAACATTTCTGTCATTTAAGCAAGCCTAATTTTAAAATATGTGTTGCCGCCCGCAAAACTGACAAATCTTTTTAATTTTTTTTTTTTAAGAAAATCAAACCAAAATTCTTCTACTTTCATATTCAATTGATGACATTCAGTGTCAGCCAATACAAAACGACCTAGATAAAAGTCGACCTATATAACCCTTGTGTGATAGTTGTGTTAAAGAACATAAAACATATGATATGGTTGGGTGGGTTATAACACACTCAGAAGGGGGGCGATTAGAGAAATAAAGGAAATTAAAAATTTGGAAAAGGGGGATGGAGGAGGTCAGTCAATAATTATGTTACGTCAAGAAGAAGAAAAAAGCAAGCAAAACAGAATCTATAGAAGAAGAAAAACCACCATCAAGCAATAAATAAAATATTGAGGAAATCATACGACACAGTTGGTGGGCGACATACAAATTTACATATTAGTGCAAGCCAGATATTAATAAAAAATAAAAATAAAGAATAAACCTTGTATTAGTGTTTTAATCTACGGCAGTTTTGTGTGAACATTTTTATTAAATAAATTCAATTAAAGGCGACGCCAGCAGTTAAGAATTTTTATTGTTGTTGTTGTGTGGTTTGGTGAAAGAAAAGAAAAACTATAAAAAAAATATACATACATATATATTTAGAAAAGAAAATTTAAATAACAAAAACTATAAGGCGTACATATATGTATATATAGAAGAGGGAAGTACATGTAGTGTTGACAGCCACCAAACCCCTCCCCAGCGGTGTCTGCTTCCTCGACACCAACTACCATTACGTACGTCCGTTCGTTCGTTCTATTGTGCATTGTCAAATTCGACGATAAAATATTGTACTAAGAAGTTGATTGTTTTTTCGGTGTGTGTTTAAATTACGAAAACAAATTAAATAAAGGAAAAACTTTAGTAGCTTTGTTGTTGTTACTGTTGATATCAATGAAGGGTGATAATTGGCGGACAAAGCAATATATAAATAAAAGAAATTTATTAACGTGTATAATAACTAAGAATAACAATAACAACAACATCGATCGTATTAGCACCAGCACCACCAGCAGTAGACGACATTTGCTTTAACCCAAAAGCAATACACATGTGACCAAAGAAAATCTAACTTCATTGGAAAGAACAACTAAATCAACAAAAAAACGCAAAATTTTGTCAAGAAAAGAGCAGTGTTTTTATATTCTCAACTACTCAGCGTAGCAAATCAAAATGCTGATTAAAAGCAATTAGCATTCATCTCTATGTGCATGCTGTTATTGTAATTTATTGTGGCTTAGGCGGCGGCAGTGGGCAAGTATAGGCATCAGTGTTTATTAAATAAATAAAATTACCAGCATCCTGTCTGATAAATAAAAAAATAACGTATAACAACAAATCAAGTAAACATGGACGAAGTATTTTCACTACATACGGAAAAGTTTGATTTATATGACGGTAAGTTTATTTTTAGTTTTATTTTAATTTTTTGTAATAATATATTATTTTACATTTATTATTGTTCATAATGTTAGGCATTAAAATATCTATATGGCTAATATTAAAAGAAAAACCAATCTTATACTATATACGCACACACTTAGTCACAAATACATTTATAAATACCTTAAAATAGTTTACGGAACTAAACTGAAAAATTCCCTACATCTAATCGTCTAGGTCATGATTGTATGGCTTTTCTAAAATTTCCTTAATAAATGTTTACGGAACCACATACAATTAAAATTTTCTAAAACTAAACGTCTTGCATGGTTCTCCTCCAAAATTTCCTTAACAATAGTTTACTAAACTGCATCAATTTTGTAAAACTAAACATCTTGATCATCATCTGATGGTTCTTCTAAAATTTTCTGAACAATTTCCTTGTGCTTTTCCGGCTCCACATTGTGTAGTAAAATCTCTTTCAGCATATTGACATTCTTTTTCATTTCCTCAATTTTGGTTTCCAATTGGGTGTTGCTGATTTTTAATTTCTCCACATTGTCTTTGCGTTTTTGGGCATTTTGTTTGGATTTTTCACGGGTGCGTTTGACGGCCTAAAAAAAAGAAAACCCACAACAATCAAATGTTTTTTTTTTTTAAATATTACAATTAATAAAATAACAAGCAAACTGTTACTAACATCATTATTTCTTTTTCGTTTCTTTTTATATTCCTCATCATTGTCATCGGACCTGGGACTGGTGCTGCTCCTCATGCCTCCTGCGCTGCTACTATCAGTACTCCTTCTGGCTGGCATACTGTCGGTGATTATTTTATTATGTATTTAAGAGATTAACCGGGATTTTGTATCATCGGTAGGTGGTACAACACCTTCTCTTCTTCTTTTTGTTCGTTATATTTATATTAGAAATGTATAATTTTATAAACAAAAACAAACAATAGTTCTTTTGTATATTGAAAATATATTATTGTGAAATTATCTGTTTGGCCATCAAGTAAGGAGAAGAAGAAGAAGCACCAGCAAACATATGTTGCTGGGCTGTCAAACAAACGTTAATCGTGTGTTGCCATATCGACAAAAAGAAAGAAAGAAAGAAAAAAAATACCTACTAATATGTAGACAATAAATAAATTTAAGTAAAATTCGAAGATAAATTATTATAATTATTATTTATTTTATGAAAAGACTGAAGATACGTTAGATATTATGTTTAAGATGACATAAATATGTAAACAATTTAAAAATATTCAATTAAAATGTTTGGAAAGAATTTTATTGTGTTTTATTTTTATAAACTAATATGATATGTCATAGGAAGATTGGAAAGAAATGGCTGAGAAAAGTAAGAAAATACAACTCTGTGGTATTATCTTTATGTAAATAATAAACATACATATATATGCAACAGATTATATTGCAATAGTACAAGGTAGGATAACTTGAGGTGAATAACAACAATTTAACTATGTAAGTTGTGGCTTCTTCTGTCAAATCTATACCAATAATTGCAAAGGAATCAAATAAAAAAAAATAAATAAAAGAGTTAAGCGCACAGACGAAACGGCTAAAATCTAAAAACTTGAAATTTGGAATGCGAATTAAGGTTTATAAGGAGCTGGCTTTGGAAGCGTGTACTCGTGTATACGAAAAGTACTAATCGTACTAAATTGGGTACAATTTGAATTTAGAGAAACGGATGAAAAAATAGTTATTTCTATGTTTATATATGGTCTCATCCCGTTCTGCAAGAATCTACTTTTTTTACTACTTTCTTCGATATCATAAAGGAAAAATCGTTATCGTAGTAAAAAGTAGTATAGCCTACCTTGAATGATTGTACCATGGTATTACTTACAGCACCTCTTGCTGTTCATGACAGATATCTCCTCCTTTTTTTTGAAATCAGTAATTATTGCTCTTCTTTAAAGAATAGTTTAAGTTTTCTAGGGAAACACCCATCTATAATTTAGATAAAATTTTAAATCGTTTATTTTCAGTTACGGATTACAAGTAAAAATGTCGAAAAAGAATAACTTCAGGGACTTTCCTTTTTTACTGAGTTAAGATATGGTAACATTTGACAACTGCCATACGTCTTAATTTAAATTGCACCCTGTTTTACTTGACGTTTTTTGCAAATACTAGCAAAGTCAGCTGTTTAGATATTCCAATTGGATTGTTGTTGTTTTCTTTTGAAAAGGGAACAAATCGAAAGAAGCTATTTTGCATTTTGGTAAATTTTTGTTTGATAAATATAACAAAATGTCTTCGCCGGCACCTAAATCACCGGAACAATCCGATAAAAACAAGAAATATGATCGGCAAATAAGGTATTTAACAAAATCGTATATTTGATTTAAAAATTATTTGAAATGAATGACTAAAATTTTCATCCATATCTGTGTAGATTGTGGGGAGAACATGGCCAGACCGTGTTAGAGGGCGCCAAAATTTGTTTGGTCAATGCCAATGGTATTGGATGTGAAATTCTCAAGAGTTTGGTATTACCAGGCATTGGTGTCTTTACAATTGTTGATGGCTCAGTGGTAACGGAAGAGGATTTGGGTGTCAAGTAAGTGGTATTGCTATTAGTCATACTGCGGTAATTTTGAACATTTTTGGTGTTATTAGTTTCTTTTTAGACTCCAGCAGTTTGGGTCAATCCAAGGCCGCTGCCTGTATGATGTTGCTACAAGAACTTAATTCCGATGTCAATGGCGATTGTGTTGAGGAAAGTGTTGATTATCTGCTCACCAATCGTCCATCATTTTTCGATGATTTTGATGTTGTGGTGGCATCAAATTTAAACGAGGAATCCCTACTACGTCTTTCCAATTGTTTGTGGGAGGCAAATGTTCCACTGTTGTATTGTCGTTCGTTGGGCTTCTTTGGTACAATACGTCTGCAAATTAAGGAACATTGTGTCATCGAAACACATCCGGATAATCCACAATTTGATTTGCGTTTGGAACAACCGTTTCAAACATTGCAGAAACATTTTGAGGTGAGTATGAGAGGAGGTTTGGGATGATTTTTGAAATTTACTTCTTGTTTGTATTTTTTTTCTCACCTAGACCACCCAAATAACAAATAAAGTGCCTTGGCTTTTAGTACTTAATAAATATTTGCAACAGTGGCGACAGGAAAATAATGGCAAACTACCATCGAACTACAGGGAGAAGTTGCAACTGAAGGAAATGATAAGAAAAGGTATTTAAAACCCTAGTGATAGCAGATCAGAAGGTGTATCCACAGGAGATCTATCTTCTCATAGGAGATCAAATATTTTTTATAGGATACCAAATTGTTAGAAATGTCTACTTCATAGAAGGTCTTCTTTGTAGACAACCAGAAAATCTTCTTCATTGAAGATCTGAAGGTATTTTTCATAGTTTTCTTCTTAGAAGACCAAAAAGCCTTCTTTCTAGAAGACCAGAAGGTTTTCTTCCTAGACGGCCAGAAGGTTTTTTCCCTAGAAAGCCAGAAGGGATTCTTCCTAGAAGTGCAGAACGTTTTCTTTCTAAATGACCACATATTCTTATTATTAAAAGACCAGAAATCCTTCTTCTTAGGAAAACAGAAGGTCTACTTTCTAGAAATGACCAGCGAGTCTTCCCAGAAAACCGGAAAATCATCTTTATAGAAACCTGGTTTTTTAAATAGAAGACCAAAAAAATTCTTCTTAGACGACCAGAAGAACTTCTTCATAGAAGACCAAATGGTCTTCTTCATAGAATAACAGAACCTTTTCTCCTTGATGATGGCTAAAAGGTTTGTTTTTTTGAAGATCAAAATGATGCCTGAAGGGATTTTCGTAAAATAGCTGAACATTTTCTAATAGCAGATCAATTATTCTCTCAGAAGACCACAGGAAAATCTCATATATGTCTTCACACAGAAGATCTGTAGGTTGTAATATCGAAGATAATTAGGTCTTCTTTCTGAAAGACCAACAAATCTCCTAACAAAATAGATGAAGCTCCACACTAACACTTCTTTCAATTTATCTTCCAGGCATTACAAATGACGAAGAAAACTTCGAGGAAGCCATGAAGGCTGTAAATACCGCATTTGGAGGAGGTCATGTAAACAGTTCCGTAAAGGCCATATTTGAAGATAATGCCTGCAATAATCTTAATAAACAGGTAAGTATCGATTCTACCAAGTACACCATATATATTAATTTAATAATTCCCTCCCTACATTCCCCCAAAAAATAGAGCAAACCATTTTGGATTATGGCCAAAGCACTGAAAGACTTCGTTGAACAAGATAACAATGGTATGCTACCACTGCCTGGCATTTTACCCGATATGACTGCCGATACGGAATCTTATATCAATCTACAAAATATTTATCGTCATCAAGCGTTGCAAGATGCCGACAATGTCTATCGTCGTGTACAGACCATACTCAAAGAATTGGGTCTGTCACCAGATACGATTGCGGAAAAAACTGTGCGGCTATTTTGTAAAGAATCGTCACATTTAACTGTTATACGTGGTTCCAAAATTGCCGATGAATATGAGCGTAATAATCGTTTTCTCAACGAAATAGATGTTGAACTTCAGGGAACACTAATCGAACATTATATAGCGTTGAGGGCATATGAACGTTTCCTCAACGAATGTGGTAATATACCCGGTGATTGTTATGTAGAAAATGATACGGCCCGTTTAAAATCGGTGGCATATAAAATGCTAGCCGATTTGGGTGCAACACAGGCGACATTAAGTGATGATATGGTCCATGAGATATGTCATTATGGCGGGGCTGAGGTCCACACCATTTCGGCATTTTTAGGTAAGTTATTGAGGAAGTGTAGAAAAATCTTTTAATTTAATTTGTTTAATTTTTAGGTGGCATTGCGGCTCAGGAAGCCATTAAAATTATAACCAAACAATTTAAACCTGTGGACAATACTTTTATTTATAATGGTATCACTTCCGAAACAATTACCTTGAAATTATAAAAACAATAAATATTTATATGTGAATTGTATAGAATTTAATTGTTGTTTGTTAAGTACATTTACATTGAACCGGATTTTGTTAATCCAATGGGTTTAAAGTGCATATATGTCAAATTCTCATAAAGTAGGTTAAGCTGGTATGGTAAAAAAGTTTTAATGTACATGCCGTTTTAGACTCGGAGATTCTTCACGGAGTCGACTATGCTGCATTTTCGTAGACGTCGAAGCCATATTTTAGAATATCAAAAGGTTTTCTAGCAAAAGTAGTCTCGTAGTATAGGAGCCCGAAAGGTTGTTCTCGAAAGAAGCCCAGAATATGAATATAACCGAAATGATCTGGATTCATTCCAAATAATCCACATTTTCCAATTGGAAAAGCAAAAAACTCGTTATTTCAGTTACAGTTGATAGCACAATGAGTAATCATTTTACTGTGAATAGCACGGCAAAAGTTCTTTGGCTCTTATCAGTGAACCACACAATTGAACTATAGGTCTACCATATGACAGTATAAACTTAGCTTTCTCTCACGACCAAACACCGAACTCTGGAGTAGGCATTCCGCTGCTGGATAAATAACGACATTTCGACTTATCTGTAAATAATTATAATAAATTAAGAAACTAAACAAAATGGTTATTGGGTATGTGACACCATTCCAATTGGATTATGTTTCCATCGAACATTAACAGCTTTACGTAATCATTGTTTTTGTTTTGTTCCCCCGCTACCATTCATAGATTCGTTATTCGTTCTGGTTTGGTTGTCGGTGCCGTCTACTATTCCAAGAAATTGGGAGTCTGGGGTAGTCCCGAAGAATCGGAGAAATTCTATAACTGTGTGAAAAGTCAATTGCGCCCCCACGTTCAGAGTTTGGAGAAACAATTGCCATTTGAGGTGCCATCACTGCCACAGACAGGAGAAGTTCGCTTCCTCGCTAAACATTATTACAATCAGGGTGTGAAGAACACATTCCATTTCATCGAAATGCTTCCTTGCTATGCTGGACAATTGGCAAAGAAAACCAAAGACACATTTAATGAATTCGCCCAACCACCACCAAAAGCATCGAACTGAGCAGGTGAACAGAAGAAGCAGGGTTTTTTGTTTTTGTGTCGGTGGGATGTTATATTAATATAAATAATGTATGTTCATAGATAGATTGTTTTTAGTGCATTGATATGATAAACATAAATGTGTCTCGCGGAAAAGAAATAATATTGTAAATCATCGATAAAAATACTAATATGTGTGATGATGATGACAATTATTGTCGATCAACCGATTCCCTTTCCCCGAATAAAAGCTGTCCTGTGGTAATAAAATTAAAATAATGACTGTTATTTTTTACAAATGGAAAATTCTACAAATATTCTAAACAGACATAAAAAATCAGAAAAAGAGAACACATGACATCTTTACTTAATATCGATTGTGTGATAGTGATAGCCATGTAGATGTCCAGAAAGACAGATGGTCAGTCGGTCAAAAAGCAGGTCGCGTAAGTACTTCGAATTGTCATAAGAGACATTTGGTTATGAAAGGTTTTTTCGAAAAGCTTCTGGGGAGTATATCCCAACAAAAAAACTAAGGGAACTGATGGGGATCAGTGGCGAGATCCGAAACTATAGTCTTCACTACCTTATCCCTCGGCGGACAATTCCATACATTCCCCACTAATAAATAGTTGTTTTTTTTATAAAAACAACAAACTGGGATTCAGCCTGACTATTTTGCAAAAACAAAATACAAATGGTATCCAAAATAACCCGCCAACACTACTGAAGATATTGTCCAAAAAAGTCAAAAGCTCTTTATTTAGAAGACCAAAAAATCAATTTAAATAGAAGTTTAGAAAATCTTCTCACAGAAGTTTATAATGCATTCTAATAGAAGACCAGAAGGAGCTTGAAAAGTCTTCTAATGGAAGACTAGACGCTCTTCTTATAGTAGTCCAGAAGGTATTCGCACAGAAGTCCAGAAGGCCTTTTCAAAGAAGATTTAAAGCAGTTCTCATAGAAGACTAGAGGGTTTTATTTTTATAGAAGACTCTTATAGAAAACCAGAATGTCTTCTTATAGAAGAACAGAAAGTATTCTTATAGAGGACCAGCAAGAGGTCCTCTTATAGAAAACCAATAGGTCTTCAAATAGAAGGACAGAAGGTGTTCAAAAATAAACCCATTAAATAGAAGTGCATAGAATACTTGAATGTATTTTAACAGAAGACCACAAGGTACTCGAAAGCTCTTTCATAGAATACTTGAATGTCTTCTTATAAAAGACGAGAAAATTGTGTGAGATTAGACCAGAGGGTCTTCTCATAGAAGACCAGCACTTTTTCTTATAGAAGACTAGAAAGCCTCCTCATAGAAATCCAGAAGGTTTTCTCTGTCTTCCAATACAGGTGGATTAATATATGAAATTATTGGTAGGCCGATTTGTTACTCAATCATAATCCAAAATTATAGTCAATTCTATTTGAAATATGGTCCGAATATTTGGGGTTAGAGTAATACGGTACCAATACCGAAAATTGGAGCACATTTGTCAACTGTAATCAAAATCCAATATGCCAAACTATACTCAGCTGGTTGGGAAATGTGTCAAAAATCTAAATTAAATAAACTGGACCCATACCGAGAATTTGTTGGAAGGATAAATAACATCCTTTTGAGCACTTCTTTCCAAATGACGAAAATCAATGGGTGTAGTCATATGTGGGCATATGGCTAAATGTGGCCTTTTATGGAATATTTTTTGACTTCACGTTATTATAGGCAAATTACAGCGGCTGGCCAGATAGATCTATATCATATTAGAATTTTACTCCGATCAAAAATAGTTATAAAACATGGAATTGTCAACTTTATATACTCCGAATATCATAGAGGGAGGGGTTTAAGTGGAAAATATTCGAATAAAAAACGATGATTCTGCTATTGAAATAAAGAATAGCATATTTTTAGGATTAGAGTGTTAAGTAAGTAGTTTTGAAAAGAAAACACGTTTTTTAAAAAGAAGATCACGTAGATGATTTTTTAAGGAATTCAATGGTTTTAATGGATTTGCTGTGGTCATGAGGTTTTTAATCTAATATATCTGTGGCCAGAGAAGCAGTACTCTTGTGAGACTCATTGACATTATTTATTTATTTATTCCAAAAATGCAATTTGAAGCCATTAAGGCCGATTTCATTTAAATTGCAAAATGTACTACTCCATTTGACAAGATTTCTTAATGATATCTTAGAAGGTATTATTCTAAAAATAATAATATATTTGAATGTTTGGCAAGTGGCTAACTACTCAAGTAAGTGTATTAATATCACATATTCAATATTTAGTAATAAACAGCATTGTATAAAATATAAGAATTTAAATTTGTATATTATAAAAAAGATGACATACTTTAATTTAGGTAGAAAAATTGAGAACTACTCCAAATTTGCCCTTTGCCCCTCCATATCAAATCTTTTTTCAATTTCGAAGAAGATAATGGAGGACACGTCTGGTAGACATACCAGAAAAGAAATATTTGCAAAAAAAAAAAAAAAAAAAATACAAAATATTAATAAAAACTAGAATTTCGGATCTTAACCATGTAGGCTTTCAGTTTTTTATAATGGATTTTTTTTTGATTTCTTGAGCTACTACTTCTTTTCAATAATAGGCTATGTCCACATTCTGATAACTTTGCGGATATAGTATGTTTATTTAACATTTAATATGTCGGAAATTTCTGTCAGAGGGAGAGTATCTTGTTCCATTCATTAGCCCACATTTGTAGTTTATTGTTTACTTATTTGAAAGTAAGAAAATATACAGTACATATACATGTTCAGATAATGTACATACATACATATATATTTGAAAATATTATCTCGATGTTTCTTATTTTTGTTAAAAATCTTAGTCATATTGGCCCTATCTTCAATTCATTTGGGTAGTAGACAAAACAAAACATATAGTTGTCAAGTGAGTGACGGATGTAAGACGTATGGCAATTCTTGTGCTTCTTCTTCGTTTTGTTTTGTTTTCAGAATGAAATTAACTGATTTTATTTTTTGTTTTATCAATTTTAATAATTTATATTTTAGAGATTCCCGTGATAAGGTTCCAATTATTGTTAATAATAATAATAAAAAAATAATAATACAAGAATTGAATCGAAAACAATAGATACGTCTATTAAATAGATTGTTGGTGTTGCCTTCTAGAAGAAGAAGATTTTATTTGGGATACCAACTTGAATCGTTATGGTCCCCTTTCTATAGTGGGACATTTTTATTCACTAAGAACATTATTTATTATTATATCTTCAATTTAAAATATTTTCTCAAGACGCCAAAATGTCTGCCAAAAAAAAAAAAAAAAAAAAAAAATCAAAATTTCTCTGTTAAATATGCCTTGGTATTTACCAATATGCCTTGGTATTTAAAAATTCATGACAATTGCAAAATTTATTTTTAATAAGTAATTATTTATTTTTTTATCTATAGAATCATAATGTCTTAAAATAAATATTGACATTTTTTAAAGTTTTTTTGTTTTGTTTTTTTTTTTTTTTTTTTGAAAAAAAAATACCCATTATCATATCACAGCGCACTTTCAAGCACTCGAATATTATAGAAAATTAAAAGATAGCCGACCAATCGATGTCAACGATAATAATTTCTATTCCCGTTAAATATTTTACAAGTGGTATTTCCACTTCGATTCAAAACGAGTCCCAAAAATATTGTTGAAAAGACTATCATCATTGACACGGGTGGCTATTTATATATAAAATGTGAAGTGATTAAGGAAAATAAAAGTCAATTCATTAAATTAAATAACGTTCGTCATAAATATCCAATTAATAAATAGATAACGATGGAGACTCACTGCAGAAAAATTTAGATAACATTTGCTTCCGTTTTATATATTTTATGATCTCCAAGCATGTCATGTTTTATTTACCCTTTTTCTTTTGTCTTTAGATCTTTCGAAGAAAATTTGAGTACTATCTGTTTGGCATTTGATTTGAGACGGATTATTTTTCTTGGTAGGTATTAGGTCGTTCGTTACTTTCCCAGTAACATTAACTCAATAATAATTTGTAGAGAGTAAATACGAATTTTTCATTTTCAAGAGAGAAAATTGCCAAAAGTTAACGAACAGCATTCAGTAAAAAGATTCTATCGACACAGCTGATTAATACAAAAAAAAAAAAAAGATTTGGTGAAAACAAAAAAGTAGCAGTTTTATTCAAAAATTTGCTATCAAGGGGAAAATTGATGTTGTTTTTGCATTTTCTTCAAATTTTCTCGTCCATTTTAATGTTTAATGATACAAAATCAAAATAATATTCACAAAATAATCAATTGCTTGAGAACAATTTTGTTGTTTCTTTACATAACAAAACAGCTGATTAGATATCAGCTAATACAAAAATCAAATTATTTGGTTTACCCAAAAGTCCAGTAAACAAAAAAGAGCAGATTTGACAGTTGTGTTATTATTTGCAAAAATTTACTGCTATCAGCTGATATTTAATCAGCTGTTTTGTAAACAAACAAAAAATTCTTCTCAAGAAAATTGATTGTTTTGTGAATTTTATTTTGATTTTGTATCATTAAATACCAAAATGGATTTTTTAAAAATAAGGTAATACAAGAGTAATTGGCCATTTTAATCCAAACAAAAAAGTTGCAATGACTCCATATACACCGAATCTGTAAACATCAATCAAAAATATATTTCCAAATAAATAGTTAAAACTTACCGTCACAACCCTTTTAAATGTTTATGGGGAACTTGTTATCCATTTTTCTAATAAAAATGCATAGTTTGCGCCAATTTGTTTGTTGTTTTAATCAAAACAATCGTTTTACTGGATGTTGTTCGTTTACTTTTTGCAGTTTTCTCTCTTGAAAAGGAAAAATTCGTATTTACTCTCTGCAAATTCTTACTGAGTAAATATTACTGGGAAAGTAAACGAACGAACCTAATGTCTTACTGAATAAAGTTTCCTTGTAAGAATTTGCAAATACTCAGCAACACAACTGTCAAATCTGTTCTCTCAATTCACTCTCTTTTACTGGACTTTTTGTACAAAT